TCCTATTTGATATTCACCATTACATCCTATTTGATATTCACCATTACATCCTATTTGATATTCACCATTACATCCTATTTGATATTCACTATTACATCCTGTTTGATATTCATCATTACATTCTATTTGATATTCACCATTACATCCTGTTTGATATTCACCATTACATTCTATTTGATATTCACCATTACATTCTATTTGATATTCACCATTACATCCTATTTGACATTCATTATTACATCCTATTTGATATTCATTATTACATTCTATTTGATATTCAACATTACATCCTGTTTGATATTCACCATTACATTCTATTTGATATTCACCATTACATCCTATTTGATATTCACCATTACATCCTATTTGATATTCACTATTACATCCTATTTGATATTCACCATTACATTCTATTTGATATTCACCATCACATCCTGTTTGATATTCACCATTACATTCTATTTGATATTCACCATTACATTCTATTTGATATTCACCAATACATCCTATTTGATATTCACCATTACATCCTATTTGATAATCACCATTGCGTTCTATTTGATATTCACTATTACATCCTATTTGATATTCACTATTACATCCTATTTGATATTCATCATTTCATCTATTTGATATTCACCATTACATTTGATATTTTGGCATATTCTTGTTCATTTTGTCTAGTGTGCCTATATAGATTCACGCTGATAATAATATATCCAATCGTTGGAGGATTTTTGGAATGTTTAAATGTGATTATACACCAATGTCATTTTTTTTTCGGAGGTTCAAAGTCGAGGCTTCGAAACATAATTGCTATTTATTTATCTCAGCCATGTTTTAGGTTACCATACCACCCTTCCAAATGGCCAACCACCATTGTACGCTGTCAGACTGGCCGTTGGGAGTGTCTTTCCTTCATTGGTTGGCCTTGATGTGGAAGATATGGATCGTATATACCCTGTATTTGACAAACTGAAACACTTGCTCAGGGAGAGTGGGTACATGCATTTGCAGGCAACAAAGCCAGACACTGTTGGTAAGACCAATCAAACAATTACTATTAATCCACAGGCATGTTTAAATCAAGGATGACATCTTTGCATTTAGTTCAACCTGATTTGCATATAGTAGCCAAAAACTAGCTGTCCCACAGATATCACAATAACCCATCCAACAGATACCATACATATCAGTTGCTCTACAGATTTCTCAAGAATCGTTGAACATATTTCCATGAAACTTGGTATATACATGTAGATGCATTGGGCTAATGCATAGCCTGGTCAGGATATAGTGGAAATGTGTGCGTATTAATTACCTAATTTGCATGATAATCACTAGTTATTGTAGTGGTATGCAAATATTTTTCCCATTTTTGGTAAAAAATGTAATCTTCAACTTTTTCTTAAAAACTAGCAGCTCAATTGCTTTGATACTTGGTATGTAGGTACATGTACGTTGGGTAGATCTTCCTCAGATTTGTTAATTTTTTTGCGATATCTTCAATTCTCTATTTTTGGCAAATATCTTTGTAATTTTTGGTAAAAATTGCAATTTTCAACTTCTTCTTGAAAACTACCAGTTACTTGCTTCGATACTTGATATATGTGTAACTTGGATGGACCTCTATTAACAACAAACAAAAATCATGCAAAATAATGTTGATAGTTGCCGCGACTACCACTTTGACTGAGATAACTTCCAGCTATTAGCTCATATACTTTTTGGCTATCTTGGATTACTCGCATATAGGGAGATACAGATAGAGTTGTCAACTTTAACATTGTGGATCAATTATCTTATATTTTTAATTATCTTCCAATACTTTGTAACTTTATTTCAAGTCTTCGATTCTCTCAGCACACAAGTTCTTTCTAAACTTTCTTTGATTTTTCTTTTGTTATAACATTCCTACAGTAATTATTATTGATACTGTAAAACCATTTATTTTCATTAAAATTTAATTCAACTATTTTGATGTTTTTTTTTTTAATTCATTGAATTTGTTAAGGATGAGTTTTATTCTTATTTTACATTTTCACATATATTTAATTTAGCTGATTTCACTTAACAGCGAAAATAGTGAAATTAAAACCCAGTTAATATTTAATGCATTTACAGTACATAAATGTAATCACTTTACTTTCACGTTGTGCATCTCAAAGAGCAAATATTTGGCGTACAGGAGCTCTGTCTAAGCCACTTCAGATATTCATTTTATTTTAAATAAGTTTTTTATTATTATTTTTAGCTCCATTGTCGACTTTGTCGAGCAGAGCTTATCATATGAGTTCGACTTCTTCTTGAAAACTACAAGCCTGATACTTGGTGTATCTTGGGTAGACCTCTCTTAGATTTATTCATTTCATGATGATGTCTTCAATTCTCTAATTTTGATGAATATTTTTGGTAAAAAGTGATATTTTCGACTTCTTGTTAAAAAATCACAAGCCTGATTGCTTTGATATTACATATCTAGATACTACATGTGGACCCCTCTCAGATTTGTTCATTTCGTGATGATATCTTTAATTTCTCGAATTTTGATGAATATTTTTGTCATTTTTGGTAAAAAGTGATATTTTCAACTTCTTATTAAAAACCACAAGTTTGATTGCTTTGATATTACATATATAGGTACTACATGTGGACCGCTTTCAAATTTGTTCATTTCGTGAAGATATCTTCAATTCTCTAATTCTGATGAATATTTTTGTCATTTTTGGTAAAAAAGTGCTATTTTCGACTTTTTGTTGTAAACCGCAAGTCTGATTGCTTTGCTATTATATATATATATAGGTACTACATGTAGACCTCTCTCAGATTTGTTCATTTCGCTAATTCTCCAATTTTGATGAATAACAGCTGAGCTATCTCAGCCGAGAGGCTGCTTGTTTGAATTTATGAGAATTTCACAGTATTGGAATCGTAATGTTGCAATGTTATACTATATCAATACTGGTGTCAACCTAAAACTTTCAAATGAAAGGGCTCCACAAATGCTGAAAATCCAATCTTAATGTTTTTAGCTCCGCTGGCGACTTTGTTGAGCGGAGCTTATCATATGAGTGATTGTCCGTCGTCGGCCGTGTCAATGTTTTACTTTTTCGACTTCTTCTTGAAAACTATAAGCCTAAATGCTTTGATACTTGGTGTATGTGTACCTTGGGTAGACCTCTCTTAGATTTGTTCATTTCATGATGATATCTTCAATTCTCTAATTTTGGTGAATATTTTTGTCACTTTTTGTAAAAAGTGATATTTTCGACTTCTTGTTAACAACCGCAAGTCCAATTGCTTTGATATTACATATATAGGTACTACATGTGGACCTCTTTCAGATTTGTTAATTTCATGGTGATATCTTCAATTATCTAATTTTGATGATTATTTTTGGTGAAAAGTGATATTTTTGAATTCTTGTTGAAAACTGCAAGTCAACATATTGTTCATTTTCTAATATCTTCTGTTCTTTAATTGAAATGTGCATTGCTAACAGCGGGGCTATCTCAGCCGACAGGCTGCTTGTTTGCATCAGTATATGTGTAGTCCTCTAGCAAAGGATTATGGGTAAAATATGAAGTACCGTTTTTTGAGACAAATTTATTTCATGTATTGTATAACTCCTGAATTAGGACTACAAATTGGTTGAATGTTTAGAATATGGTAGCATACCGGTGCTTATCATGCATATAATAATTTTTATTTAATAGTTCAAGAAATGTTTTGTAAAAGCACTAATATCTTGTGATATTTGCTTATTTAGTGATAGTCAGTCATGATGTCAAATAGCACATCTGTTTGCTTGAACCAATCAGATTGTTGATAGTTTTATTTCATTAAATGAAAAAATACATCTGACAGCAAAATCGCCAGCCTTGTTTTTGAAAATGTTAAACATGTTCAAATATTTTTGTAGTAACTCGTATTATTTCACTGCTTTATTTCACTGTCTGTCATATGCTGTCTGGATTTCAAATAAATAAATACAATGAATGGGAATGAATAATAAATTAATTAATAATTTAACACAGGTTTTGGACTAAATGATTCTCCTGTTGGACTAGCAGCATACATATTGGAAAAGTTCATCGGCTGGACAAATCCACATTATCTTGATCTTGACAGTGGTGGTTTAGAAAACCATTTCACTATGGATGACCTGTTGACCAATGTGATGATTTATTGGGTTAATGGCAATATTGTTTCATCAATGAGGTTATACAAAGAATCCATAGCAGAGATTCTTTCCGGGCAATTGGAGTGAGTTCATAAAATAATTGTTTAATATACATTCATACACCAACCTTTTTGTGACCTCTTATAATTGTTCAGATACTCTTCTTTTTCCGCCATTATTTTTCGTCAAGCCATTTGAGAAATCCCACTGAGTGGTTTGAACTGTTCTATACTGATTGTTGCAATCTGGTACACCTGACTTGGTTTGCAAGTAAAGTTGGATTAAAATTTAACTGGAAGTGGCTCTTTGACCACTTTCTGGCAGCCTAGGCAATCTGTTTCGTTCATGTCATATAGTACAACTCGTGTGATAGATATCAGCAAAAAAATGCTTGAAAATCTTCTTCGAAACTACCATTGATAAATGGTAAGCACATTTAAGTTTTTTTAAGCAGTTTTGTCAACCCTAAATATACAATCGGATGTACAGAGGTAATCAGCAACTGCATTGTGTGAAATTAGGGAGACAATGTTACATATATCAAGGCTGCTGCAAGACAAGAGATTATATGAATAAACTTTGCAATGCCAAAATACCAGTATGAATTTGCCACCACATGATGTATCTATACTCACTAGTATACTAGTTCCAGGGCCCATTTCATTTAATCACTGTTGCAAATAGTGTTTCAGATGATGTATGTCATTTATACATAAGTTTTTTGGTGTTTTAAAGTTATTTCCACGTATCAGAATTACTTATAAAATGTATTGTAAAAGTCTGTATAAAATAATAAAAATAACGACTCAGGAGGCAAGTATACCACTCAGTTCTGATCAGTTCATATACACACTTGCTTTCTTTGTGTGTATATGTCATGAAAGTAATTTTAGTGCTAAAATTCATCAAAATTATGTTCACCATTCCATAACCAGACCAAGTAGAACTTTACACATACATTGTACATTATGTCAAATTCTGATTCAAAATGGCCAACGGTTTCAGTTTTGTCACTGTAGCAGTATAATAAATGAAGGGGAATATTCTCATAATAATATTTGTATTCATTTCTAGTGCCATGCCTGAGGTACCAGTGGGCATCGCAATATTTAAATACGAGTTGGCTCATCTCCCAAAAGCTTGGGCTAAGCTTTTGTTTCCTGATCTTTTGACGTACTCAAGAATGCAGAGAGGTGGACATTTTGCTGCATTCGAAGAGCCGCAGCTGCTTGCTGAAGATGTAAGGAAGTTTGTCAGTGCAATTGTCAGAAGAAAGAAAATTTAGAAAACTGATTATAAAATTCAAAATAATATTAAGGTGAAAGTTTGCTCTGATTTGAAAAAAAAAATTGAAAAAATGCACATTGAAATGTATGCATATTATTAAAAAGTGAAACACATGTATTGCTTTTACCTTTTCATGTCGAACTTAAGGGTAGTTGTAATTACGTCTTGGGATTTTTAAACAATAAGTATTGTTTGTAAATAATTGCACAATATATGAACCACTTTATAGAAGATGTGCAGATTCTTATTCTGATTTACAATACAAATTATATCAACTCAACGTTATCAAATACTATTAATATATAGTTGTCTATGGAAATCATATAGTATAGAATAAGTATGATAATCATATATTGGTGATCAGCTTCCTGTCATTAAATGAAACTTGTGGAGCATTTGAATATGTCTATTTAATTTTTGAGCATTTAGACAGTTGTAAATTGGTTTAATCAATTGATATTATATTACTTTATTTGTCAACACATGTAACTTTCCAAATTGTATAGTATTTGTTCAAATATGACCTGAAATATAATTTCTTTTACCATTTCTACATTTAAGCACTTACTGGTTGAAAATTGCAAGAAATGTATATGTACATGAATAATATTTTTCTGAGGCGTGTTATTTTTTATAGAATTTGTGAAAAATAACTCTTGATCTTTGTTATTCTCCCTACAAAATACATCAAATTATTTATGAATTATCCATGGAGCTCCACTTTTATTAGATCTATAAACATTTGTAAGTACTGTGAATCTGTATTAATATCTTAGGGGAATGGATATTGATAGAGTTTATGTAATATGTAATTTTCTTGATATTTTGATGTTTTACGTATGAAGAAAAATGTATAATATTATGGTACAAACAAACAAACAACAATGACAGACAACCATTGATCATGCTTTTCCTCAGTGCTAATCAGCCTTCGAAGTGACAGTTGTAATACTCTGCAATTTACAACTCGCCATGTCTAAACCATAAGCTATATATTGTGTCTCAAAGAAAAAAAATATCTTGTACAAGATTGTTTTTTATTTCAATCTTTTCTTCGCACAATAAATTTCAGTTGTGTAAGTTTACACGTTACCCGTACATTATTGTATTTACAGTGCATCTGGTGCGATGTGCCTTTCGGCATAGTTACGGTTCTAGTACGCATCTAGGTTCTGCATGCTTACTCGATACTCGACCATAATGCTCTGACCTCTTGAAGAAAATGTTAGTCCACAAAGTGACTTGCAACTTGGCAATCTTGTCATCAAAGGATGGTGCTTACCTTTCACGACCAAGACGTGTTTTCTTGCCCAATTCGCAAGGGATGCTGCTGCTTGTGGTCAAAAGGTGCATGGATAGGTGACTGGGGGCACGATCATAGATATCAAGTAGAAAGTGGACAACGACACAAGATCGTGTCATGGATTATTTCTCGACGTGCGGTGGTTTATAGCTCTGAATACAACTGGCGAGATTCGTTCTATTCAGCGGACTATTGAACTGACAGGAAAAATTGCAAGAACAACTTCCAATTTAGTTATTTTATGTTACGGAAAAAGTGACATTTTACATTTGAGTGTGTTGCGCATCGCAGAAGGCATGAAAAGCACATTATTAAAAAAGTCGAAGGCTGGATATTCAAAAAATAATACTTTGCTGGGTATTTTTGTTGTCATTTAGCCATAATCGGAACTTGAATATAAATGTGCAAAGAAAAAAAAATCCGCTACTATGTTGGAAGCGAACTCTTTTTAGAATAGTTGGTCATCAAACACTCAACATTCTGTTAAAATAATAATTTTAATCATATTTAATTTATTTTTAAATACATGCAATAGTATAAGTATCTGGTCGACGATAAAACTCTTTCATCGCATAATTCCCTGCCATAGCATATATCTGCTACACTCCAAACATACTAATAATACAACGACAATGCTTTATCTTGAGAAAAATATTCATACTCAAATATTGAGGCGGATAATCTATTTTTACGTTACATCAGTTTCGAATGCGTTCAACTGCACTCAATCGAGATTTGTTTTCGAATACTAGGCTTTCCAAGTGAATGCGACACATCATCGTTCTTTACTTTCATCTGGATTTTAAAAGTCGTTTACTCAATTTAAAAAAACGATCTCGGAAACAATACACGAAAATTCCATGCCATACGCCAATTAGGTCACCCAAGTCCATTGACCCATTTGCGATGAATTAGTGATTAAACCAGTAATCAAGCGGAATGTATTAAAAGTTCTACACTCTTTCCAATTTGGAGTTTTGAAAAACACTGCGCATAACTCCTTTTCAGGGTTATAATTAACGTCTCATCGATTTACCTCGCACTGACCTCAGGCCTGTACTGACCTCCAGCTGGTGAATTAGTGTTGCGCTGTCACGTGATATGTGTAGCCAATAACATTAGACCACAGTCTCTCTATAGTCCATAGAGGGACTGTGCTGCAGCTTCGACTCAACTGCGATAGAAGTAGTGGTAATACTAGTACACTTGTTTGTAGATTCACGTGTGTACCTTCCTTCTTGGTCATATCTCCCACTGTTCTGTAGAGGTTGCGTTGGTCGCATCAGGTGAGATCTTCTGTTCGATATACATACATGTAATTAGTGGATGGATATTGCAGCATGGGCGTGTCCATCAATGAACTTGCATGTCATGTGTCTTACTAAGGAGCTTAGGTTTCGCGCGTTTTACTGGAGTACTTAATATACTAGATTTTGGTAGATTATGTGACAATCGTGATTGTTTATAATTTGACTTATAACACGATAAACAAAATTGTGTCTTGTGCAACTTAATTTGCAGTGCGTTTCGAGCCAGTGTATGTCTGATCATCAGCATGACCGGACAACTGGGTCGGCAGACGGGATTGTTATGAATTAGATGTAATATTTGCTATACATGACCGCTTGTCGATGAACTACCATCGAAAAACCTTTGAACAATTTCCAAGGAAAAATTAGTCATTATTTTGTTGCCACAGTCGGGCGCCACTGTCAGACCATAGCCTCTTGTAACGTAAATATTATGAATGGACTTTTTTCAAACATCGGCATATTGTCCCCCCCCCTCCTCCCGATGTATAAGAAATAACACAGGTTAGGAAATGCTATTTTTGCGAGGGTCCTATTTTTAATTTCCTGTTTTTTGCGTCAAAAATATTCTGAATCTTGGTGCCAAACCACATATCGACTTATGACTTGGCAACATATATTCCGAAATATATACCTATAGCGGGATTAAAAAATTATACATATATATAGCGGAATAAAAAAAAGCAAGCCGGTAGGCTAGTTGGCGATCCGCTCCGCTCAAAAACAAGCAACATGTTTTTGGCTGTTTCAACGGTAGGACATGAACGTGAAGCAAACGTCGGTTTATAACTAGATGGGGCCCGTATACGAAGTTTTGCGATAGTATTTTCTAAAAATGACGGCAGCATTTACAGTGCATTCAAAGTTCAAAGTTGCGTTGAAATTACGTTGATACAGTGTAACAATGTCGGCGCCGGTGATCTCTTACCAGTGCGCAACGTAGTCAAAATAAAAAGCATGATGATTTGAACATTGCTATTACAAAACTGGTAGGAGGTAATAAATTTGGGGTAATAAATTTGGGGCGAAAGTATTCAAAAATCAGTTTTTGGATGTTGCCAT